TATTGTCATCTATGGAAGCAGCTGCCAATACTATAGTTTCCATATTCAAACATGAATCTATATAGACTTGTTGGAGATTCACAAGGAGCTTGTAAATTTCATGGGGGCATAGATATTTTAGACTCTCACATTCTTGAATATCTAAAGATCTTACATTTTGAAAACCTTGGAATCCAGGTTGAACGTTCTTCCACAAATGTTCAACTCCACATGAAGAATATGCTGTGCATGTTTGTAATTGAGAAAATGCTGAATCATGCCCTTCTAAATCAAATACCACATTGACTACTAGTTCCTCTGACCCTTGCTCGCTTGTCAAAGAGTCCGTTGATTCTTGCTTGCTTGTCAAACGTTTCAACACTAGTTCCTCTAGATTTGGTAACCATGAAATGCAATTTGAAGGAAATAGAGCATTACAACTTGCTCCCACTTGCGCTACTTTCGATCTAGATGAGGTCGACCCAGCAACTTGAATGTCATTCCTAGTCTCTTTCGTCTTGTTCACACTTTCATCATTGGGCTTTATAATCTGCACATTAATTAATTCTACATAAATAATGAACTTACACATGAGCCAAAAAGAAAGAAATACATAAGTAATGAACTTCCACAATTTGTCTTATTTCCAAATTGCCTTAATTATATTCCCACATCCTCTGTCATAAATTTTGAGAAATAATAATAATCCCCTTTTCCTACCCTCAATTACTATTTACCAATAAACATTTTTAACTCTAAGGACATCTCAACCTTAATTTTCAAATGAAAATCATAGGTGTGAAGATTTAGAAATATAATCCCCTTCTATTAAGGGACATTCTAAACACACTACAAATTGGTTTTCAATTATCCAAACTGCCTATTTCTCAAGTCTATATTCATAGATTATACTTACAAAAAATTAGACAATTCGGAAACCATTTCGATATCTAATTATGTTCTACAAAATTGATGAATACGATGCTTCAAGAAAGTACTAAAATCACAATAATTTAATTGAGCGGTCAAATGATATATGATTCAAGTGATTTTTTCAGAGATAATTTTTTATTAAATATCTATAAAATAGTTGCAAAAAATTGAAATCCATCAAAAATCTCCAACATACCAAAAATGATTAAGTTCTACCCAAATCAACTTCTAGAACTGGAACGACAGTATTAAACACAACAAAAGTAGCATATTCAAAAGAGTAACAAGTATATACCATTCAAGCATCAAAAGTGCATACATACATACCTCATAGGTGGAGTCCCGTTGGTTTCCCGTGTAGAAACCACGGAGCTTTGGTAGAGCAATAAGATGCAAAACTGTTAATCTTGACAATTTTATCATGTAAGATGCATTATCATCTTCCATTCTCTCCTTTGATATGATATCTTCCACTTTATCACAATTTTCAACCGTTAAGCTTTGGAGTTGTACCAAGTTTTGTGCTACGGATAGTGAAAAGACATATTTTAACTCATCACAACTGTCAATTTTAATGGATCTTAGGTTCGTAAAGGAGTGCTTGTCTGACAGTTTGCCACAACACACAACTTTTAGTTTGTAAACATTCTTGAAGGTAACTGACTTTAAGATGGGGAAGGCAGGTTGACGACGACAAGTCCAATCTGTTCCATTCATAAGATACTCTATGTTGTTGTCATACATGATTGATAAAACTTTCAAGTGTTGAAAGCCCCCTTCATCAACTAACTCCTCGATGACATACTTTAAATTGTACGTGCGGTGTAGGCTTAGGTCTTCAGATTGCTTTAAGAAGTATGTAACTGCTCCAATCTCCAAATATTCCTTTACATCACCACGAAGCATCAAACTATTTTCGAACAGATAACCACGCATTCGATTCTTGAAACTATCTTTTTTGTATGACCAACTAATATTGACAGATACATGAAATCTTATAGGATGGCTTTTTAAAAGAAACTCATCATTTTGCAACATCTGAACATCAGGGATTTTTATGGCTACGACATTTAAATGATCAAACAGAGACATCACCTCATCAAGGCTTGCCATACTCATTTCATCCTTGGTTTCAGTTGCTGGCCCCCAATTGAGAAAGCTTTCTGCCATGTACAACTCTTCTAATCTCCTCAACTTGGATAAAACACCATGAGGAATTTCTTCAAGTCCTTCACAATCTGTTGCATCCAGCATCCTTAACCGATGAAGAAGTCCTATTTCTCTAGGCAACTTATTGATTTGAGAGCGAGCAAAGCTGAGGATCTCCAAATTCACCAATCCTCCAATAACATGGGATATGTCTCCCAAATTGCAATCCTCTAAACACAAGGTATGAAGGTATTTGGGTTCTCCAAGCATTAGAGATTTTTTCGAGGCCAAATAGCTTGACATATCCACCTCTAAGAAAGCTAAAACCTTGAGTTCTTTCATCCTTTTAAAGTGGTTGGAATATTCTGAACTACTTGAGGAATGCTTCAGTTGCAGAAGCTCAAGTTTGGAGCACTCCAAACCATCAATAATATTTTCATCCAATTTAACATCAATTAACGAAATTGCACTGCAATGTTCTTGGTTTGTAACTTTTTGTACTCCTGGCCGTCCTCCACCTCCACCTTCAGCATCAAATGATCTTACCATAAATCTGTGAGGATCTTTTGAGGCAATTGATATAGCAACATCACGAACCATGTCATGCATTTTGATACACTCTTCCTTGAGACTATCCAGCAACAAATACCTTCTTTTTAGTTGTCCAATGAAATAATGCACTTTGTTTCTTACATCTTCAATTGTGCTGGTGTTTCTAAAAGTTGCTCGACCCGACCCATACCTCACCAAATACTCAATCGGAATATCATAATCTTCTGGAAATAAGCAACAAAGTAAAAAGCATGACTTGACTTCATCACTATCCAATTTATCATAACTCAATTTTATGCAAGAATAAACCTCGGGTTCCATTCCAGGGATGTTTTCAGGGAGGGAATTTTTCAGTTCTTGCAAGGCAGTATTCCATTCATGCTTGCCATTAGTTGGTAGAAGAGCTTTCCCAACAGTTATGATAGCAATGGGTAAACCTTTGCATTCATCAACAATCAATTTTGCAACATGAGACAAATCATGGTTATTGTCCAAGGATTCACCTACAGTCGCCCTGAAAAGCTCCCATGCTTCTTCTTTATTTAAGGCTTGGACTCCAAAAATGTCATCTTTACAACCCATTACTTTACAAACTTCTTCATTTCGAGATGTCAACAAAATTGTGCACCCTTCATGATCACCAAAAGGGATTCCTACATCCTGTAATTTAACCTCTGACCATACATCATCTAATATAATCAGGATTCTTTTACTCTTCTTAATTCTCTCATGTAGTCTTTGTGCTCTTATAGATTCACTATCCTCAACCAATTTCATATCAAGTGACTCTGCAATTTCAACTTGAATTGTCCTAATGCTTATAGTTGCGGAGACAGTTGATATCACAACATCATCAAACAGCTTATTCATTCCTTGTAATCTCTTGATGATTTCTCTTACCATTGTGGTTTTACCCACGCCTCCCATCCCACAAATGCCAATTATTCTTGTCTTTTCATTCCTCAAAGCACTAAGCGCATTATTCATGACATATTTTCTAGATTCAAAACCCTTAAAACCTTCACTAGAGATTGTTGACCTTAGCTGTTGCAGAGGTGTAGAATTGGCAACATTATTACTCAGTTCTTCGTCTAGTTTGAGATTAAGAACACGGTCGGCAATCTTCTTGGCTTTCCTACTCAGAGAATACCGTGATTTCAAATTTGGGCACCACGTTTGCACGTTGAGTTTGGTTTGAAGTTCTTCCGCTTCACGAAATATTTTGCTTACATCCTTCAGCCAACTCTGAACTTGTTCTTTGATGGTTGCACCATTCCTTTTTGCAGCATCCACAGATCTTTGAACATCATTTTTCTTGTCATCAAGCTTTTTAAGTGCATCCTTCAGACTTTCTATGTTGGAATCATGGTAAATTAGATAGCTGAGTTGTCTCCGAATTAGTGCCACTGGTTCTTCTACAAATTGAGATGCAATTGAAGCACAAATCTCTTCCATTTTCTGTTGCCTTTTTAAACAAAGCTGCCAGAGACTAAGGAAATTCTCAAACCAAATGAAACTGTTGCAAGCGATTCCACACCTACAATTTTTATTATGAAAAAGTAAGGTAAACCAACCAAAATCCCACCAATCAAGTCTCATAACATTAAAAAAATGTATTGTCATAGTTACAAGAACAAACAGTACAATGTGCACAATTTTGGGTCAAATTCCAACTCATTATTTATAGATATCAGTCATTAATTTTATTGTTATCATTTTAGCTCAATTTTAAAATGTACAATCACTATGGCCCTAAATCGAATCGATATAGTTTGAGTTGGACTCATGTTCAGCTAGTTTTTTTTATCATTGAAGCTCGGTTGGTAAAAGAAACGAGCTTAGCTGGAATAAATGATAAGGCTTATTAAGGTTACCCGAGATTGAGCTTTAGTGTACCCAGCTCACAAAGGTCGTTAGAAACTCACATCTTTTTATAAGATATTGTTTCGTTAAAGTTTAGGGTTCATTGATTTTTGTTTTACTCATAGGGATGATCAGTCTTTTAGGTTTATACTATACTAGCCCCTTGTCACATGCTCTTGCATGTGCCATTTGGTTTTCTTTTTTATTTTATTTTTTATTTTTAGAATTAAGAAAAGATAACATGGGTAGTTATATTCCATAAAAGTAGGACCTATTATCTGATTTTGTAATATGAAAAAAATGTGAATTTACCATATTATCCTCATTTAAATAATAATTTCAATTCTTAATGTTTGAATTAACCAAGGGCATTTTCTAGTATTTTGAATGTTTCACAATTCTTTGACTTTTGCTTTATATATATATAGATTATCATTCTTATTTGCATTTGGTTTATTTTTTAATATTTCATAAACTCGGGCTAAACTTGAGTTTAAGAGCATCCACAATCATGCTCAATATTTTTTTAATTAAAATTTAGCTAAAAATGCTAGAAAATTATTTTAGGAGTTCTCTACCAAAACTCCAACCATACTCCTTAGTTTAAAGAGTCAGAAATATTATTAATATTTTTTAATTCAATTTTTGAATAACAAAAAATAGTTGACATTAAATAAATGGTTAAAATACTATTAAAAGAAAGGAGCATTAAATTATAGGGAGTCACTAGGAGTCATATCTCTCTCTCTCTCTCTCTCTCTCTCTCTCTCTCTCTCTCTCTCCCCCATTAAATTTAAGATCTCCTAGAGGTCTCCCTATTTTTCAATTCTTCTGTAAAATTTGTCTAAAGAAGTGTTTTAGAAAGTCCATTGTAGATACTCTAACCTCCCTTAAAAAATGAGTTCAATTGAGCTAACCATAAACACTCGATCAATAGATGCTTAGTCAAGCCTAACTCATAGGGCCACCTATAATATTGTTCCACTATATATTGTGTGGGAAGTATCCCATAAAACCTAATCATTTTATGTAATATTTTATGGATATTACCTATATTTACTTAGAGCATCCACAATGGGCTCCCTAAATCATCTTCTCAGACAAATTTTTGGGAGCAATTGGAAAAATACAACTCTCACCAAGCTCCCTATCCACCTCCTAAAATAGGGAGACCTCTAAGAGCTCCTAAATCTGAATAGAGAAAAAAGACTCTTAGTGACTCCCTATAATTTAATACCGCTTTGTTTTATGCATATTTTAAACTTTTAATTAATACTAAACTATTTTTATATTTTCTTTTATAGAGATTGACCAATTATATTGAATCAAAAATATTTATAGTATTTATGACTCCCTAAACTAAGGAGTATGATTGGAGTTCAAATTTTACAGAGAGCTCCTAAAATAGCTTTTGTGTGTTTTTAGCTATATTTTAACTAAAAAATAGAGTGTAGATGCTCTTATAAATTAAATTAAATTAATGACGAGATCATTAATTTGATAGAAATTAAATTAAATTAATGACGACACTAAGTAAAGTATGCATGTGCTCGATACATGGTGAATTTACTAAATGCGATCAATCAATAGTTCTTTTGTAGAAGTTGTACTTATATGTCAAACAAGAATATTAAGTCGCAATAATGAAGACTGGTACTTAAATCTTAGACACCCTATTTGTCTTATAAGTAGATTGTGTATTATTGGGTTTGCGATTAATCCATACAGTAAGGCCCAGGCAAAGCAACCTAAAGGCCCCAAGGGTCAGCTCACTTGATTGTTTTCACAGAAGAACTTAAAAATAAGAAAAACTATTTTAAAAACAAACAAATATCAAGGCCAAACAGCCCCTCTCCAAATCTAACTTCCAGACGTGCACCCACCCTCTATCTCACCATAATTGTCACCTCATATCCCATTTGCAATTTAAAATCGATAGACTGCCAAATCGACCAAACTGAATAGGTTGGTTTGGATTTTTTCACTTAATTTTTGGTTTTGGTCCAACAAATCGAACGGAACTGGTTGTGAAGAATGTTTCAAAAAGTATGTGCCAAAGGGGACTCAAACCTTTAACCTGCTTCTTGGAAAGAAGCATTTCTAACACTTGTTTGGGATTGCTTCTCTAGAAAGCAATTCTGCTCACAAGGGCTTCTGGCAAAAGCGCTTTTAAAGATGTTAAAATTTTCATAAGAAATCCAATTGCTTCCTAGAAAAGCATTTGTGAGTGCTTCATGAAGAAGCTCATAGTAGGTTCTTCTCTAGAAAAAGTTTGCACGACCTAAAAGCACTTATAACATTTTATATCAAACACTGTTGTCAAAGAAAGTGATTTTTTATCAAAGTAATCAATGTCAAATGAGCACTATTTGATGTCTCCCTCATAGGAAAAAAACAAAAAACAAAAAAATAAACGTCAAATGGCCAATGCATAAGTCCATGCCAAGAGGTAGTTGGTAATTGAAATTTAAAATGTCTGAGAAAAACAAACCTGGAGTTAGCGGCAAATTAGCACTATCCGCAATCCAAATGCTCAGTATACCACTAATACCTACAAAGACTGGAGAAATAAAGCCAGAAATAAAGATCAATGTATAAATATTTGTGTTGTAAGATGAGAGAAATAGAACAAGAAAAAGAAGAAAAGCAATGGAACCGAAGAAAGTAAACGAACAGGCCCTTAATACCCAAAATAAAGAAAGAATATTACAAAAGTTACAAACAAGAGTTTTCCTACAAAGTGTAAAGGAACCACTCGTGTTCTGCTCACCCAACAAAAATAAATAAATAGTAAAGAAAATAAAGAAAAACTAAAGTGTTAATTAGGCAATCACAAACATTGCAGTTTTCGCACACAACAATATATACTATGTCATACATACACAAAAATACATGTCCGCGAGTGAATCCTCCTATCTGGAATCCAAAGCTGATGTCTCACTTGCATTATGCACCTTTGAACTCAAATTGTTCTTGCTTGGGCAACTGATTCCTAGTAGAACATTTAAAAAATGTTACTAAAAATCCTTATTTGCAATTTAGTCATTTTAACTAGGGGTGGCAATTTTGGACATAACCTGTTACACGACTCGAAACCCGCAAGAGAATTTAGCAAGTTCAACCCGCACGATTAAAATTTGGATAATTTTCATGCCAACCCGCTATGACCCTTTTAATAAACGGGTGGGATTTGGGTCAACCCGCCAACCTGCTAAAATATCTATATAACCCGTTTACCAAAACGAGTTATGACAGGTCAACCCACCAACCCGCTAAAATATTTATGTAACCCGCCAACCACCTAAAAAACTCGTGTAACCCGCCAACCCACTAACCCGTTTATTTGTTTATTCTTCATTTTTCTTTTTTCTTTTTCTTTTTTTTAAAGTTTTTAAGTTGCTACCACTTAGCGGGTCAACTCAACACGACCCGAAACCCGCACGAGAACTTAACGAGTCAACCTGTGCATGACACGTTTATTAAACTGGTCAGGTTTGGGTTAAGCATTCCTGACGCGTATATAATCTTAACACGACACAACACATTGCCAGCCCTAATTATAACTAGCTACACTTGTCAATAATTTCACTTTTGTCTTTATACTTTTCTTTATTTTCACTGTGGCCCCTATACTTTTTCCAATACATGTCGGTCTTCAGACTTATCCATAATTTCACTTTGGTCCTTACATTTTCCTTTATTTTCACTTTGGCACTTATACTTATTTAAATTATCTTTTGGTCCTTCCACTTTCAAAACCGGCTTGGGCCAACAACTCAGAGACAAATTTCCAGAAATCGAAGCATCTTAAAACTTTACCTTAATATTGGTCCGAAATCCTGGGTGAAGCTGCCAAAGAGAAATAACCAACTCAAACAACACTTGAAAACTAACAAAAGCTTGTTTCAGGTGTACCACTGCCGAAAAGACTTCTGAACAACCTTCATGAAGGAAGTATTGTCATCTGAGCAAGGCAAAAGTGACATACAAGAGTGAATAAGGTACTGTACAGTAATAACAGCAGAATCCGAGGAAGTGACGAACATGCTTACCACAGACATAGCTAGAGTAGTTGGATTGCTCTGATTTTTTTTGGATATGTCATAGTTGTCAACTGAGGAACAACCTTAGAGAAGGACGTTTTGTCAAACGAGCACCGGAGATTAAAGAAAACTGATGAAAACTGAGCTGCACAAAACTCACCAGGCATGGATGAACACAGAAATGTCATAGCCGGTTCGAGGTAGCTAGACCCGTCTGATGATGCTCATGTTTGGGTATGATATAGTATTCGAACAGACAAACAAATTTGATGAAGAAAGTTTGCTGATTTGAGCTTTCGAAATCAGACTTCTAGAGTGATGAATAATACCCACGAGTTTGGGTTTTCTGAAGAAGAAGATGAACGTTCACCGAAAAAGGAGAAAAATGAAAGAGAAAAGGAACAAAAGAAGAACAAAACAAAGAAAGTGTCGGCAGCCTTACCCAAAATTTTCAAAAAAGTGTGGTCAGCCCACGGGTGAACAGTACCCACTAGTTGAATGATGGTTACAATAGAGGAAGTCGCATGTATTTTTCGCAACTTTTCCCCAAGATGGAGATAAAGATGAAGTTATGAGTGAACAAAACTTTTCACCTCTGCATTTTCCTCATTCTCCAAGCTCTAAAGATGAAGTTATGGTTACAACAGAGATAAAGATGAAGTCACATGTAGTTTCCGTAATTCTCCAAGCTCTATAAAATTTGTAAGTTGCTTTGAAATCTTAGAAGGGCTCAACAAGGAACGGTATTGCATCATCTTTGCTAATATTAGCTTCAATGAAGTTATTGACGAAAGCAGAGCATGCTTGATGAAACGAGCTACCTTGTGAAAGAACAAAAGGAATACTAGATTAAAAGGAGAAAAGAGAAACTCATCCTTCGAAACTGTAAATTCAATAAGATTTATTGAATTTATTGGTAGATGTTGACAAATGTGAGAGGTGTGTAAAAAAAGAGGCAGATTGTGCAAAACAAGACAATAAAGTGAAAGGGAAAAAAAGGGCGAGTTATTGGCGTGAAAGAGAAGAGGTAGCCACTTGTCTTCATTTTTTTTTTTTTTATGGAGTAATGGGTAGATGATGTGATTAATTGCAAGTAGACAGTATCACTCAAATTAATATAGTGGTAAATAGAGTATCTTTCTAACAAAGATCAAGTTAATCTAGTAAATACTACAGTGATTTATTTTTAATTATATTTGAATTAAACGATAAGAGGATTAAAATGACAAAAATGTAATTAAGCAAGTAAAATAAGAATAAGTAAACAATGTAAAAGATGAAAACAAAGATGACACAGCACTAGAACACCGATTTCACCTAGCTTAATCCTATCCAAATCATTCTAGCTTGTCAATCTTAATTACCTAACATGTTGATAATCGTTTTCCCTTATCTCACCTAACATGTTGATAATCGTAGCCATAGTAAAAAAAATTAGTTCATGAAAAACTTATTGAGAAACATGATGGTTGATGAAGACATGGAAGGTACTGAATTCTCCAAAACGTACAAGAAATTTGATTTTGCTCTTGATTAAGTAACTTGCTGAGTTGGATCATAATCATCGGGTTTTATTTAGAGAAAAACAAAATTTTATTCAAACAACAATAAAAAGACGAGTTGTAGGTGAGGAAAATTGACTTTCAAAGGGTTAAGCTAAAGAGATGGGTTATAGTTGAAAATACAAGGTGTCAAACATTATTGTTGTGAAAATGAAGATATGATTACTACTACGGTTTGATGGTTAAGTGCGCAGACTCAATTAAAACCTAGTGGAACTAATTAGTTCTACATCTAATTGTTTCGTTCTTGTGTTGGAATCACCTTCTTTGTCAATAAATAAAATTTAAAAACAAAAAACTACTTACAAAAAAAAAACAACAACAAAAAGGATTTCTTCTTTAAATACCACAAAAAACAAGAAAGACGAGAGGGAAAAGTTGCATCATGCCCATACATAACACTGATCATCTTAATTTAGCCAATATAGGTCATCTCTGTTGTGGAATTGGGCTCAGTTGCATGGTGAATCAAGGCTCTGATACCAAATGTTAAGAACTCTTAGATAGAATTTGTCCCTAAAAAACGGCTTGTAAGTGAAGAGTGCTCATGAACTCTTAAACCACTCTAAGATATGCTTATTTTTCCAATGTAGAATCTTGAGTCCTAACACTAATCTTGACGCTTTCACACCAGAGTTTCTTTGGTCCTATATTCGTATCAATGGAAGTACACCTTGTGCACTTATTGTTGCCGGTGGACTCCTCCGTATGACGTTTGTGACTGACGTCTGAGCATAAATAAATAATTATAAATTATAAAAATTATAAATTAAAAAACAACAAAAAAGACAATGTTAACGTGACCCGCAGTGATTTTATAAAAGCGAAATGATAACATTATCCACTCCGAGCGGAAAAGCTCAGCTGCTACCATATCATGGCAAGGCTTCTCATCTCCAACACAGCCTCTCTCACTCTCTCTCCACCAGCCACGTCCTCACGTGCTCTACTCAACCCCCCGCACGTGCGCATATCGCCGGCGACTCGATTTTCCTGCCGGCAAGCCAGAGGCCTAACGATGGTGACACGTGCCGGTCCCACCACGAACCAGTACGTGTTCGCATTCGTTATGCCACTCTCTCCGATCGCTGTCACTGTCTTCCCCCCCATGAGAATCGCCGATAAGCTCGACGAAGACTTTCTTGAAGAGGTTTGTGAAATTTCTGCAACTGGGTTTTTGTCTTTATTTGTATGCGGCTTAATGCTTCTGAGGTGTTAAAGTTCATGTGGGTTTTGGGTTTTGTTGAAGATTGCAAGTGTTTTTATTTTTATTTTCGTTTTTGTGGTGATTGGAATGAACAAGATTGCCAATGATTTCTTTAATATAGTGATGTAGAACAGATTGAAGATTTTATCGCGGTTGAGCAAGAAAAGGGACGTGGTGGGAATTTGCAGAATTGTCGTCCGAGCTCCGATTAGGGCGCAAAATACCATTTCGAAAAGGATTTCAGATAGGAACTGCGGAAATCTCTTTAGTTCAGGTACAAGAACACTCAGTGTTTACAAAGATGATTTCTCCAAAAGGATTTAAGAGGAAATCTTTAAAAAACTGAAATGAAAATGTAGCCTGATTACAACTGAGGCCTAAGCTAACTTAAATAAGCAAAGACAACTGTGGAAAGTAACCATGGTAAACAAAAGCAACTAAGGTAACTTGGAAAGAAACTTTGGTAACCGAAAGCAATTTTGATAATGATTCAACTGTGGAGGCAACTGTGGAGGCTTGGGAACAACCCAATTCAACTTTCAATTTTGTCTTTTTGAAGGAATAACTTTTACTCAGCAACTTTTGCTTTCACTCAGGGTGAAGTGTCGGGGAATATTGACTGTAGAGGCACAAGAAAGCAGGGCGGCTGCTTTAAAAAGATGCTTTCAATCACATTCTTCGGGGCAATTATTGTGTCAGCAACTAGGAGCCTAATCAGAATTCAAATCATAGGCATCATAGGGGTCTTGACTATCTACGTACCAACTTTTAGGCTTAGCAGGGCTCTGCATGGGCTGGCAACTGGACGAAGAAGGAGAGTCATTGTCATTGTCATTCTCCTCATCATCATCCATTTGGGAAGCTTGAATTATCAACTGGCGAGCAATCTCCTGTAGGTCAGACTTTGATTTTCCCTCGACTGAAAGGGAAGATTTGGTTGAACCAGTGGGGGAAGTTGGAGGCGGAGAAGAATCATGGGGCAAATCATTGTAGACGTATTTAGCAATTCTGTCAACTTCGAACTTATCCCACCATTTAACAGAAAATTGTCGGGCAAATATTCTGGTATCCTTGGTAACCCTGTAGGACCATTTGAGGATCCAAGGAACTTTGTATCTGGCAATGAAAAGCAACTGTTTGGGGAAGAATATATCAAATTTGGAGAATTTGGCTTTCTTGGTGAAATGGCGAATTAACTCATGGATTGAAACAGGAAGAATTTCATCGACTGGCCATGTTTTTCCCACCAGTGGAGGAACCAGCAAGGAAAAGAACATTTGAACTTATTGTCAAAATTAATAAATCAGGAATGACTAAAATCCCCAAATTGATGGAGGAGAATAGAATACCAGGCTTCAATATAATCAGAGTAATTATACTACAATTTTGACTGGAGGGTTTACAATTCATAAGGGTGGCTACTGAAAGACTCTTGACTCATAATTTTGTGGATATACATGGAATGATAAAGGATGGTCTCAGGGTGATCACGATCCTTTATCGGCTTAATTTCAACTGATTGAGTTTCAAGTAGTATATCTCTATAATACTTGAGGGACTTGTAAGGACTTGGAGGCATATAGTGAAATCCTGGAGGGAAATAGTGTTTGGCTATGGCAATTGGATATGAATGAACATCATAATTGGGCTCAATGACAAACAAGTGAGAGTTACTTTTGGGCAAATAAGGAGATGTCCTTTTGAAAGCAACTGAAGGGCCAACTGAGGGATCAACTGAGAAAGGATCATAACTGGAGATCAGGGTCGACTGATAACTTGGGCGGATTTGTCCTACTGTAGAACCAAGACTGGAGAATCTGTTGGCAACTGATATTGGGGTAGCAACTAAGATTGAAGTGTGACCTGGGAAAGGAATCAACTGTTTAGGCAACTCTGGCTTGACTTGACTCATGGATGGAGGGAGGATTCGGAGCGACTGGGATGACTTGGACTGGGAGGACTTGGGTTGATTGGCTGTTTCTTTTTGTTTATCCTTTTTGGGTGCCATTGTGCATCCTGCAGGAATTCTCGAGTAAGAAAATCAGGGATTGAATTCTCACTACCTCTCAAATATTCAATATCAAAATCAAATATACTTAAAATGCTTTGCCGTCATGCAAAAATCTGTTTAGATGCAATGTTTTGAACATCCTTTTCTAAAACATGTTTTGCAGACTTACAGTCAACTCGTATTAAAAACTTTTGATTAAGCAAATCATCTTGGAATTTACTAATGCATAATACAATAGCTAATATTTATTTTTTAATAGTACTATAATTATATTGCGACTGGGTCCAAATTCCAGAATGAAAACGAATGATTTGTTCTGGAGAGTTTGGACTGACTCTTTGCTTAAGAATGCCACCATAACCTATGTTAGAGGCATCAGTTTCAACTATTTTGAAAGAATTTACTGAAGGAATACCAAGACAGGGGAGTGTCTTGACATGAACTTTGATCTGTTTGACAATTTCAGTGTGAGTGTTCGACCAAGGAGGAGGATTACTCTGCAGCCTATCAAACAAAGGCTTACATTGTTTTCTCAGGTTTTGATAAAAATCAGAAACATAATTTAGAGATCCTAAAAAT